TTTGGGTGTTCTCTTTATCGAGGGTGAGAAAAAAATATCTAGACAGTATTCAATATTTTTGAAAGCACATGATATTTACAAAGGATAAGACCAGAATAATACTTAAGGGTTTCATAGACATTACTTTGAGAGACTCAGAACTATCTTTGAGATAAAACTGAGGAGCAAAGGACAAATATTTAAGGGCCTGCTATATGAAAGGAACTGGACTGGATAATTTATATGGGTCATCTCCTTTAGTCCTCACAAACCCCATGAATTGGGTATTGTTATCTCCACTTGAAAGATAAGAAAACTTGAGCTAGCTGAGATAAGTAATTAACCAAAAGTGACACAGAAGAGAAATGAAAGGGAACCAGGATTCAAATCCAGTTCTGTGGCTTCAAAACTCATGCTCTGAGTAGCTTACAGTAAGGGAAAAAAAAATTGTAAACAATCTAAGTGGCATCATAGGAATTGCTTAATCAGGGGTGAGGAATGTCCGGCCTGTGGGCCATATACGGCCTGCAAAATCATTTAGTCTGGTCCTGCCAAGGCATTAGGGATGAGCTAATTAAATATTTGACCAAATATAGCAGGCTAATTTTTAAGTTGATGATTTTGCATGGCCCACAAATGATGTTATAAGTACCCAAATGGCACCTGGTAGAAAAATGGTTCCCCACCCCTGGCTTAAATAAACTGTAATCTTATATAATAAAAGGCTAATATGCAAATTGACCAAACGGCAGAACGACCAGTCACTATGACGTGCACTGACCACCAGGGGGCAGACGCTCAACACAGGAGCTGCCCCCTGGTGGTCAGTGTGCTCCCACAGGGGGAGCGCTACTCAGCCAGAAGCCAGGCTCACAGCTGGCGAGTGCAGCAGCAGTGGTGGGAGCCTCTCCCACCTCCTCAGCAGTGCTAAGGATGTCGGACTAATGAACATCCCCCAAGGGCTCCTGGACTACAAAAGGGCACACACAGGCCGGGCTGAGGGACCCTCCCTCCAAGTGCACAGAATTTCATGCACCAGGCCTCTAGTGTATCCATAAAAAGCATTCATGGCAAATGATGTTATAGATCTATTTTTATTTACATGAAAAGGTGTTAACATATAAATATCAAGTAAAAAGAGCAGATTATAAAAAGAGAACATATTATATGATTCCTTTTAAGTTACACATATAATTTTATATGTATATTTGCAGTTAAAAATTATAGCTAGGTGATGGGATTTGAAGTATGTTTCTTCTTGTTATTCATTTATAGTTGGTGTACAATGAGCTTCTATTGCCTGGATGCTTGGATGAATGAGCAGATACAGTGAGAGATATGTAGATACATAGATATAGAATATATAAAGATATATAGATAGAATTTAAAGATCTAGTGTTTAAAAAAATAAGATTGTAGCCACATCTGACATTTGAAAAGCTCTATTATGCACTTTAAGAATACTCATGTGCAACATACTTGTAAGAGTTCAGAAAAATATATCTATAAGTCTATCTGTATATCAATGTCTATACATTTATAGATATATTTTCTCACTATATATAAATGCATTGATATAAACAGAATAAACAATATCTACACATTTATAGAGACAATGACAGAATATTATAAAACAAATATAGCAAAATGGTAGCAATCAGGGAATCTGGGTGAAGAGTATATTGGAGTTCCTTGTGCTATTCTTTCAACTTTTCCGTAAATGTGAATTACCTCAAAGTTTAAAAGTTTAAAAAAGTAATACACATTTTATATTTCAAACACATAGTCTGGTACAAGATTATACCAATTTAAAAAGAGACACTACTCCACCATTTGGTCTCCTATTGGCACTTGAAACAAGAGCCTGTGATCAATTTTTTAATTCACCCTTTACAGTGCTTGTCACAGAATAACTTGCGATTTATTTGGTTGTCTTCCCCAGAGCACAGAAATATATGAGAAGCCTCCCATTTTGTTTCACAAAGCCAGCACAATTTTAATAACAGAATTGGACAAACCTAGCACATAAAAATCCATGGACCGGCGTGAATCATAAATATAGACACAAACGTAAAAAACAAATAATAGCTTATTCAAGTCTAATAATTCCTTAAAAGAAAATAATAAATCATTCACAGATAGGGTTGATTTCAGGTTTATAAGGTAAAGTCAGCATGAGAAAATCTAGAGAATTTAAGAGATATTTCATCTGACTTTCTTGATAAATAGGAAAGAGAGGTATTTCTTTCACAACTCCTTTTTGTAAACTAGAAATAACAGAACAGAATAAAGAAGACTGCCTATTACAAGAAAAAATATATTTGAGGGGGAATACTAGAGACATTACTACCCAAGCTAGAAATATGAAAAATATACCTATTATCATTGCTATTATTCAACTCTGTTCTGGAGACTCTAGGCAACATAGTAAAAGGAAATTATAATTACTTCTTAATTTTATGATAACCTCTCCAAAAGACCCCAGAGAAGCCACAAAAAGCGATTAATTAATAAAGTTTTAATCAGATCCAATACAGTATATCAAACCTTTATGCCAGACATCGCAAGTTGGCAAACTTTTTCCATAAGGTTCAGAGAGTAAATATTTTAGGGTTTGAAGGCCATATGGCCTCTGTAGCAACTATTTAACTGTCATGCAGAAGCAGCCATAGATAATACAGAAATGAATGGATATATCTGTCTTCCAATAAAACTTTATTTACAAAAATAGGCAGTGGGCCGGATCTGGCCCACTGGTCACAGTTTGCTGACCCCTACTTTATACCACACACACAAAAAGTCGATGGAGAAAAGTTATCATGTCAAACAGCAAAACAATATGTAAAGACCTAGAAATTACTTTCTAAACAGAGATTCAACTATATGAATCAAAATTTAAACTATGAATACTCTTTCAACATAGCAAGTGCATTTCTGGGAACTTATACTAAAGATATATTTAGGAAAGGACATAAAGGTGTGTACATATGGATATTTATTATAGTGTTATTTGTAACAGGAAAAAATATCTCTTACATAATCCATGTCTATGAAAAATATATCATTTTTAAAGGTGACAGAACAGTATGCATATCAGTTAATTTTTAAGTATATGGGTGTGTGATGGTTATGCATATGTAATTACACAAGAAAAAAAATCCTGGAAAGATATATACCCAATTGCTTCATCAGCAGCTACTCCTTGGGGTAGGCTTATAGGGGGCTTTCTTCTTTCCTTTTGCATGTTATTTTTGCTCTTTTCTATTTCCCATCTAAGCTTGGAAATGAAATTTTTCATTTTTAAAAGAAGTAAGCAAACAAAAAACTCCAGTACTGCTCTGAACAATTTATTCTTATTTCTATGAATTTTAAAGAAGCCTGTATACACTATCCTCCTCAAATAAAACAATCAATACTGATTTTAATTTTTACATTAAGACATCTCCAAAAAGTTCTTTAAATAACTATAACTGTTTCATGCCCTGAAGATGGAAATCTTTTTATTGTAAGTAATGTAAAAGGAGCATCTATCTGGAAATCTTGTCTTTCTCTTATTCTTCAGTGATATTTCTGCACACGTGATTGGATTTAGAAAGCCACAGAAGGGAAACAGGAAATAGGCAAGATTGGAAAGTGATGGACCAACCTGAGGTAATATCTTACAGGGAAATAAGTATTAGTAAATTCATTCCTTTAAGTCTTATTTATGGTTGCATAGTATGGGAATTTCACCTGTTGGGTTGGGGTAAACCTCTGACATTCTTGAAAATTCTCATTTATAATTTATGACGACTAAGTTTGGGTCTCTTAGTAGAAAATGTAAGTTCATATGATTTATTTTTTTAATTTTTATTGTTGAAAGTATTACATAGGTCCTCCTTTCCGCCCCGCCCCCATAAACCTCTTCCAGCCCGCTCCCATCCTCCCCCGGCCCCACCCAGGCCCTCACCTCCCCGCTGTCTGTGTCCACGCGTTATGCATATATGCATTCAAGTTCATTGGTTGATCTCTTCCTACACACCCTCCCCTGCCTACATATGATCTATAGCTAGTGACATTTAAGCATGTTTTCCCTTATAATTGATAACAGTTATCTATTTTACCATGTTTTGGTTATAGTATATCTATAAATTGGTACATATTTGATTTTCATATATTTAAAATCTTGGAAAAAAAGAGTTGGGGAAGAAAGGAAAATAATGATCCCTGTAAGTGCTCAGAAATTCTTTGTAGGTGTAAATGAATGCAAGTTATATGGCATAACTAACAGTTACCACAAAGAGGAAAAAAAAACACATTATTTTTGCCTTCTCAAAACACCGAACTTATCTGGCTTTGAAATCTACCAATTTCCCTCCTGAAGTGGCGGTCTCCAATAGCTCAGCCTAAAAATTAGATCCATTGCAAACAGAAGATCCTCTGGCAAAAGACATTTTCAACTTTTGAAGGGTGTGTGCACACACACCTATGTGAGTATGTGCATGTACGCACATGTGAGTACGTGTGTGTGATCTTGTCGTTGCAAGAGAGGCCATGGGAGAAAAGACAGTCTCCCCAGAGCCAAGTTAGAAGTTAACAGGAACAATATGACAAACACAAAGGTCATCCAGAGTTCTCAAAAGTGATGTCTAAAAACGATGAGGTGTCAAGTATATTTTGTAAGCCATAAAAATCTAGGACACAATGAGCAAGTGATAAAGTTTGCTCTGAACACAACAGACAAATAAGTACATTGATATAACATGGTTTGCATTAACTATTCCTTTGCTCCCAGTCTCAATCAGATGCTATTTGTCCTTCAGCAGCAGAAATTACTACTGTGAAACATGAACATAATGACTCAAGCTTGTATTGAGATCGGGGAGATTGGAATTCCACAACTTTCCTCCCAAGCTTCCATTTTTAAAAATCTTGAACATGAATTCAGTATAGCTAAAAAGTGAATAGGGAAATTATGGTATTTTTTTTTGGTCAAATACTGATCTCTGTAAAGCGTGTCACCATTCCCAGTAGAAACTTACCCTTCAACTTGAGGTCCACATTATGTCTCAGCCAAGGATAAACCCCATAGCTTGGCATATCTTCAGGAATCGGATTGCTGTTTATCCAGCCATCACAAGCAAACCGGAAGAAATTATGACAAGGGTCCACAGACGGATTTACTTTACTCAAGATGGCAGCAGCTATGTAAAAAAAAAAAAAAAGAAAATCACAGGATTAATGACAATCACTGAATGCTGTGTATTGGCCTCTTCCAAATTAAACAATGATTTCCTATCTACCAGTTCCCAAGCCTTAGCTTTTACATTTCCCTGAATCAACTGCTATCCAGCAGTGAACTCTGGGTTGTAGAAGGATGCTAACTTGGCCCTATAAGACTCCTTGGCTAGAGAGCAAGGCAAAGTGGGCATTCCAGATGAGGGACCCAAGGCAGGGGCCTCTCTTACCCAGGTCTAGGAGCAGAACTGAGTATTTGTATAAGTTAACAGAAAGACAAAATAGACTGATGTATAATTTTTTTCCTCTTTCATAAGCCCACACACAATTACATATGACATATAGTCGATAGGTAGGAAGTTTGTACAAATGTAAATGTTTCCATGAGCTTTAAAAACAATCTTTCATTACAAAATGAGAAGGTTCCAATATTCCCAACATTGAACTCCAACTCTCTTCCAACTGTCATACAATTGCTGACTACCACTCTAGCACAGAGATATCCACCAACAAAATTTTTCAGACAGCTAATATTTTAATAATATTGGAAAGATGACATCCTAAGGAGTTTTCATACTCTCATTAATGCCAGAATACATTTCTGTTCAAAGTAATGAAAACCCAATGAGTTTTCAGCTAAATGTGAATAAATTGCCCCCAAAAGTAAAATCTGTATACATTTAGATACACATGTTAGTTTGGCTACATGTGTGGTTCCTCCAGGCTTAAAAGTAAGGCTACATATTTCTCTAGCCTAGACTTTCTATGAAAATTTCAAACAGCTTTTTGTCTTCAATAAAGTAAATAATATACAAACACCCTCATTTCTTTAGGATATCAAAATTCCTACTATTTTCAAACTCCCCCCAAAAAAGAACAAAGCAAAAAAATTGATTGTCATTAATCCTATCTATGGTTTAGAAGTTTGATAAATTTTAAATTGGCTTAGTATTTTCATCTTTCAGAATTCAGTTTTATCCAATTACATTTTTATTTACTGCTACTATATTATTATTATTTAACATGCAAATATACTAGGACACACAAAATCTTCATTTCAGTTTCTATTTAGTTATACTGGCTGTGCAGCCACAGAATGAATCTTCTATGTGACACCTCAGGGTCACTGAACATACAAGTTTCAGTCCCACACAATATTTACACTCACACAAAGGAACCCCACACACATTATTATTATTATTTGTTGTTGTTGCAAAAAGCTATATTGTTTCCATTTGGTCAAATGCATGGGAGAGGGCTTCAGGGTGGTTAAAAGAATGGCTAGTAGTTTCAGGGAGAGGCTCAGGCAAAAGCCAGACACCAGGGGAATGCAGAGGGGCCCCCCAAAGGCCTCTGTGTTCCAAAGGCTTCTGGTTGTGCTTAAAGGTGGGCCTTTCAAAGAGATACTGCCCAGCCAAGCCTAGGAGTGGAAGCCTGCAGATGTTAGTCAGGTGGTCACTCATCTTGATGAGTTTCACCTGATCATCCAGGAAGCAGTTCTGCAGGAAGTCACAGAGCTGAGGGTCTTGTGACTGTGCGGACAGAACCCAGGGCCTGCAGGTTCCTCTCCAAGGCCAGGGCGGCTTCCATGGCGGCCTGAGTTTCACCCACTCACTGTGGGGAGGCTTCAGCACGACCTGGAGAGAAAGCGGCCACCTCGCTGGTTTTGCATCTTTAAGAGATGCTCAGCGCCCTCGCACTTCTTTTCCACCGACTCCTGGAAGAAGCGGCCCCGCCCTCCAACCACATTGTGTGTGTGGGGGGGGGACAGGAGCCCAGAGAGAGGTGGGTGTGGGAGGCCCGCAGATGCAGGTTGGCCCGGCGGGGGACCCCAGCCCCCACCTCGGTGGAATTTCTGACCGATCTGACGAATTTGGGAGCTCATGGCTGTTCAGCAATAAGGAGTTAAGGTAGAAAAACCCCCCAGTGTGTTGGCTGGTCTTGGAGGTGGTTCAGAAGGTGGTGACTGGATGAGACGCTGGAGAGTGGCCGGAGGCAGGAAGAAGGGGTGTCCCTGGGTCCGTTTTGTCCCAATACTGTAGAAGCAGAGACAGATCCAGGGCCACCGAGGGCACTCTCACACATTTTTATTCACACAAGCACATTGCTTTCTGGGTGCCTCCCAACCCTCAAATGTAGCCCTCCCCATCTCCTCAGTATTCTTGCAGGTACCTAGAAAAACTGCAAGGTCAGCTCCAACCTCAGTCCTGATATAAAGGGAAGGAATACATCACTCACTGAATTTGGAACTGAGCCCGGTGAATGGGGAAACTCTAGCTTCAGCCTCCCAATTCATCATTCACATTTCCCAGCTGGGCACAGAGCTGCATTTTGAGAAGGGAACTGTGACTTAAAATTGCAAGGGACCATACACCAAAACTCCTTTCCCCCCACTCAGCTTCATGGGGAAAACCCAGATTCTTGTTTTAATAATAATAATTATTATACATATATATACACATCTACACTAATAAAAGAGAAAAATTGTAATTGGCGTATGATGCTACCCTTTTCATTGGCTAATCAGGGCTATATGCAAATTAACTGCCAACTAAGATTGGCAGTTAACTGCCAACAAGATGGCGGTTAATTTGCATATGTAGGCACAATGCAGGGAGGCGAAAGGGAAAGCA